TGACACCAAGAGCATCCCTTAATTTGACTAATCCATTTCTGAATCCATTTCTATTTCTGGCCATGCCACAGTATCCTGTGGCAAGGAGTTCCACACCTTAACTACCCAACTTCCTTTTGTTTAGATTGAACCAGTTACTCGGTGATTCCATAACACAACCCACTGTTCGTATTATGAGAAACAGCAACATCACCTTCCTTCTCTGAATTATTCTTGATTTTACATACATCATCTTGATTCTTTTCCACTTCCTCCTTCTCATAAAACTCTTCTCTAGGAGCCCCTTTACCCAGCCTTACTTTGCATGCAAACTGTTGCAAAAACTCTGGTCAGCACCAACATCAATTACTCAGCAAATCCTTTTAGTCAGACTTTTCCTTTGAAAAGTTGCAAAGGGAATGGAAGCATCCATAAGCAAAACTAAAAATCTGAGTCTACAAGATAGAGTTTTCTGCTTCTTTTCAGCTTCTGCCTGCTTAAACACTCAATTTATCTTGTAGGTGGTCACTAAAAACCCACCAAATCCAGCTGATACAGTCACAGAACTGTTCACACTGGCTCCACAATTTCCCTCCCAAAATTAGCACCTACTGAGGTCTATTTGCAGTTATTTTTTTTTCATCCTGTATTAACAAATCAGTTTTGAAAAACTGAGTATAGTGCAGGAACTGGGTAATTCTGGTGCAATCACAAACCAGAAATTTTATCTGCTGTACCACAGAGATAATTTCAACTAAACTGCAAAGGTAAAAAGGAACAATGAACAACAGACTGACAAGGCACCTTTTCCCATTCAACACTGGATTTCCAGAAAATTTCCATCCCAGATGCTCTGTTTCTTATGAACTAACACAAAGACCATCTCCAGCAACTAACAGGCATTAATGTACTTAACGACAAGGAAAAAAAAATTCCAAATTCCTTCAGCACAAGTAGAGGCAAAATCTGAGTGAAAAATGCATAGTAACATTAAAAAAAAAGGGAGCAGAAGTTTGGTATCTAATATATAATCACAGACAAGTCAGGTCTGCAGATTTCCCAGCACAAACTTTATTAGAGTTCAGTTAAAAATACATAATCTCCAGACATTTGAGATGTAGTTCTGACTGATAAAGTCGCAGACAGGAAATGAAACCCCTCCCAAATGCTGCTCCTTATCTTGAGAAGCTCTGAAATCATTACTGAACTAATAAAGTAATTCTGATTTGTAAAAAAAAAACCATCTTATTTGATAAAGGCAGTTGTGAGATTATTACTTTTTGCTGGGTATGTACCATACTGATGAGCACAACAACTTTTAAGAGCTTTTATAAAAGACTTTGACAGTGAATCTGTGAGCTTTTCTGAAAGGGAGGATACTTGAGATGTTAAGCTAAAAGCTGGCAGACAGCATCATATATTATTTTTACTAGAATTATTAACATTCATTCTTTTGTTTCAATGTTTAGATATTAAGAGAAAATGAAGAAGGAAAAAAATACAAGCCATCCCCTAGGGAGGTTCCCAAACCTACCACACAACATTTAATGACAACAGATTAAATGGAGTTTATTCCTGGGATCTGGGAAATGTGGGGTCAGATCCTTAATGCAGAGAAAGACACCAAATTCCATCTAAGAGGGGAAGTGCTCCATTACCACCTCCAGCAGCTGTACCTAAAGGAAAGCCTCTCTTTACAGCCACAGGGGAGGAATGCACCTCTGAGATCACAGCTAAGTGAGGGAAGAGATGGGATTTAAAACACATTTGTGTCCTGTAAGCTGCACTGAGGCAGTTTCATGTTGAGGGTTGAGTGGACATCACTAGAAAGGTCCTCAGCCCTTTCCTGCCCTGTAAATCATGAGCTCAGACACCTTCAACAGCAACATTCCAGATTTTCTAATGGAACCAGGTATACACGGCCTGGGAATTGCTAAATCCAGGCTTTCTGTGACATAAAATTAACAACTGCTAGTTCATTAAAATAAAAACAGATTTTAAAAGTAAATATTTTGGTGAGTCAGAAATTGACCAAAATTATTTGATGCTTTATTAGCATTGTTTTTCTTGACCACACAAAAGAGCAAGCATGGAGTGAAGCTCAAGGGGGGAAAGAGGATGTTTGTAGCACAAGGTTCTGTAAGAACCCCAGCCCAGCTCATATCCCAGCCTGTTCCTGGGCACTTCCCCTGCTTCCAGCAGCACATCCAGGTGGGATTTACACAGCACACAGTGCCCTCTGCTGGGGCAGGTACAGACAGAGTATTTTGAATCTCATCCTTTAAAAGAAATTAAAAATTAAAGATTATAGAAAAGAACACTCTCACACAATATCATACATCTTCTCTTGCTGTAGAACTTTTGGGTTGTACAGCTTTGCTTTTGTTCCCAATATGAACGTCATAAAATCAATTACATCAAATCTGGGTGGAATGAACTAAAGGGTAAAACACACATAACTACCACACTTAGTATTTGAGTGAGACCTGTTGATTACTACTGGTCTTTCTATTTGCAGGCATTCACCAGTGACAGCCAACAAATCTCTTTATAAGCTACAGTTAATCCTGGCAAACAGATTGTCACATGTTCTGAATTTCTGGAAGAGTTGACAGAAAGTAAAAAAATATCACTTCCATGTAATGTGTACTAAAGAAAATACAGATCATATTTCACACTCAAATCCAAAATACTGACACATATCCTAATGACTGCCAAAACCTGATGCAGCCATTAAGGGTTGGACACAAATAAATTTGCAGAATACAGGGTAAATTTCAGAAAAAAACTGTTGAACTGACCTCCTCATCTGACTCATCTGCAAACACCGAGAGCTTCTTTGAAACAAGATTTTTCTGCGGCAACTTTTTGGGCATAATAAGCCCATATCTAGAGGGGAAAAAAAAAAAAAAGTTACCTTTAGCATCACTTACAACATAGCACATTCCAAACCAAAGATCTGCCATTTACCATTTGAGAAGTAAAAGGTCAGCATCAACATAAGGTATAGAAGTTATATGTGAGCAGCCTTTGCAGCAGAGCACACTGGACACTTCCCATTAAAAAGTTTCTGGATGCAATGTTTGTCCTAAATTAGGACACAAATCCCTCCTGTCCAGAGTTCTCCAAGTAATTTTCTTTTCTCTCTCAGAGAAGTAAGAATTTTTTTTAAAATACCAACTGTTTAATCTGAAAGGATTTCGTTTTAGTCTATACCAAGCACTTTCCATGCCTATGTTTGCAGTGCTGTAATTTCATGTTTTATTGACAATGAGACCACAGGTGCTACGGCAAAGGACAAGATTTACAGTCAGATTAGGTCGCGCTCCAATTAATTAACCACACACAAACAACTCTTCTGCTGACAAGGTCCACCTCTGTGCTAAACCCACTTCCTTTGGGTGCTGAGCAACCTCTAAATCGGGGGTTTCTCGCCCAGCTGCATTTCCCTGAGTCCATCGCTGAGTCAATAGCTCGCCACAGGGTTGCGAACCGACTGAAACACCCCCCCATTCTGGGGTACAACACATGGGTACACCCCAACATTCTGGGGTACCACACATGGGTACACCCCAGCATTCTGGGGTACCACACCATTCCTGTGAGCGCTGTTTGCTTCCCTAAGCCCTGAGCCCGCCCTCAGCTCCGTCTGACCCGGCCGCGGAGGCCGAGCAGCAGGCCCGGCTGTGCCCGAGGGTGGGAGGTGTGAGGGAACATTGAGGAGATTCTCCTCCGTAAGAGTGAAAAACACCCCCAGGCAACACCTCCGCACCCTCAAGCGCCTGCCCGCTGCTCGAGTTCTGCTTGTTTTTAATAAACACAGTTTTAAAGCCAGGCCAACACAGTGAGGCCGTGCGGCGGACACCTGGGACAAGCGAGTCCCTGGGCAAGAGTTTTCCAGCGCTCTCCCCTGCCCTCAGCGCCAGCCCCAGATCCCCCCCGAGCGCTGCCCCCGGCCCGGCGGGGCCCGCCCGCCCCGGCCCTGCCGGCACTCACTGCTTGCCCAGCGCCGCCATCTTGTCGGGCCGCCTCCCCCGCGCAGCCGCTGCCGTTCCGCCGCCGCAGATTCCTCGCGGCCGAGTCCTCCCCACGCACTTTCCCCGCCCGCCCCGGAGACCCTCACGGCACCGTGCCGCGGTCCCGCTCCGGGAGGGAAGCGGAAAGCGGGCGGAGGGGGCTGGAGAAGGCGGGGAATTTTTTTAACAGCTCGTTGTCGAGGGGCGAAACTGCCGATCAGGGAAGGGAGATGGCGGCGCTCCCTGAGGGCAGCAGCGCGGGGAGTCGGGGGCGCCTGAGGGCAGAGGCGGGAAAGGTCCCTGAGGAGGGAGAAGCCCTGAGGGGGAAAAGCCCCTGGGACGCTCCTGGGGCCGAGGCTGAGGAGCCACGCTGATTCCTCCCCCCCATCACCGACCTGTCGCTTGTTTCCCGCTAAAGACTGAAAGAGGAGTTTAATTTCCCAAAATGTTATTAAAAAAGTGATTCTGCCCAAAGGGACGTTATTGGAAAGATTAAATCTCACTGTAGACAGTGCAGTTGCTGTAATCTCAAGCTTTATCCCAATAAGAAAGCTTTTTGTGTTTTATTAATAGTGTTAGGCTTTTCTGCAACATGTTCAGAAGAACATTACAAAATGCTGATTAACAGCCTTTATTTTAAATTATTCCTAAAAGGTCCTTTAAGGAGACTGAACCTTGAAAATTAATGCTGTATCATTTATGAGCCTTGTAACTTGGGACCCATAAAGATATCCTTTCTTCTCATTTTCCCATCAGAATTAATTTAAAAAACCCTTAAAACTTTTATTAAGCCTTTAAAATTCGGTAGCTATGCTGGCAAAATTCTTCCCTTTAATGTTTTTATTGCTTTTTCTTGGTAATCCTTAACAAACTCCCTATCATCTTAACTAATAATCCCTAACAGATTTAAGCCATTTTAACAACAAATACTAGTGCCTATGCATAAAAAAACCACAAATCAACCGTTAATTTAATAAAATATGTGAAACACCAGAATCACAAGGGTTAGATGAGAAATTAAGAGATTTAATTGGAGGCACAGTAGATACCAAAAGGGGCTAAGGATGGTTTTGTTCAGTGTGTTGGCTCTTTGTGATCTCCACGAGCGCCAGGCAGGTGTGAAGCCACTGGTACAGGTATTGGGCTGGAGCAGAGTCCTGCTGCCACTCTGCTGCTTGAGGGACACCTGGAACAAACAAACAGCTGGAAGTACAACAGGGAAAGTCAAAACTACGAGCAGTGTTGCCACAAGAACAGAAAATCATCCCCTCAGCAGAGTTTACCCTGAATCCAGTAATTCCAGGAATGGTGATGCCTTGTAAAGCACACAACTATATTGTGACAGTGACCTGTCAAGTGCTGACTTTCCACTATAATTTGTCTTATTTTGTGGTGGGTGGACAGTTGTACAAAGTGCTCTGCTATATTTTAATGCTAAACTACTGCTTATATATGGAACATATGGACAGTACCTGGTGTTCATTTTAAAGGAATTCCCATAACTGTGAGTTATACCTGCATTCACACCCCTGATCTGACACTCCTCTCTCAGAATAGGTTCCATCCTGGGAAACCAACCTCTCCTAGCACATCTGCAGTTTCCAAAAGCTACATTCTTTAATCTAATTATATCAGCATCTCTAACTGTCAGAAAACTGGATGCTCTAGGCCTGTTTTGTTCTTTCCAGTAAATTAGTTTAATATATATGAGGAGAACACATGAAAAGGAACTATCACTGCCTCAAGTGTTTACTCTTTATCAGCAGGCAGGGTACAGTTGATAAATATCCCCAGCTAAAGCAATAACTCTTGTCCACGTTTGGCTTTTAACAGGCCTCTCAGACTGGTATTAGATCACAAAGAGAGAGATCTCAACGAGAACAGTAATTTCTCTTACAGAGATATTGCAAATAATAATAACAGCCTCTTGACTGCTCTGGCGCCAAAAAAAGCTCACATTCATTAAAGGAGAAAAAGAGACTGACAAAGAGCTCCTGTCTATGGCCTGTGAGTACATTGAGCACTTGGCAGATGGTGTTTATGAAGAGAAGGGCTCACACTGTGTGTTCCTGTTTGGAGATGGGTCAGTCCCCAGGGCAGGGCATAGAGGTCTGAAGCAGACTTGCTTGCCAAAAGAACTATCATTCTTCATATATCTTTACATACTGCTGTCCAAAAGAACCCTCATTCTTCATGCTTATCGGGAGGTTTACAATGAGGTCACTTGTTCTGGAAGGTTTCAAAGCTGATCTGCTCCCCTTTCCTGAAGGCAGTGAATTTTGAGTCTAAATTCAACAGGTTGATTTCTATTGACCAAAAAAGACTGCTGATATTGAGGACCCATTACCTGTTGTTTAATCTATTGTGAAATCAAAGTTAATTTCTGAAGTAAGGCCCTTAAAAGCACTCAGCTGAACATTGCCATTGACACAGTTTCATTGTTGAACTGTGCCTGGTAACCTCCCAATGAGTTTATGATATTTACCAATGATGAGGTCCAGCAGCAGCTCTGCTTCAACTTGCACAGATGAAGCAGTTGGATCAAAGCAATAAATCTCCTGAATCAAATTGTCATCGAGTTTCTGCAATGCAGAGAACAAAAAGATTAGGGTGTTTGTGAAAAGCTTACAGAATAAAAGATAGATGAGAAACATATAGGAAATCTATAGGCAATTAATTATTTCACTGCCATTTCCCCCTTGGCAAATTCCACTGCGTCTTCTTGGAGGAGGAATAATAGAAAGCAAACTCTAAAGAATTTGAATTCTCACCAGTTTACACTGACTCCAGCTCTCAATCTCCTCTGAGCCCTTCCAGTCTGGATGCAAAAGCAGCAGCACAGCCTTAACTACCTCATGTACCAGAGCTGGGGGCTCTGCACAGCTCTTTATTCCATCAAAGCTCTCAGCACCGAGTTTCAGGACACACTCACGCAGCTCCTGCAGCATGAACCGGTGGAACAGAATCCCTGCGTGCCTCACATTTGTCACACGTTCTGCCTCTGCAATCAAAAACAAACCTCCCAAGAAGCTGCTCAGAAACATCTGCTACTGAGGACTTACATTACTGACTGACAGTTCATGTGCTAGATCCCTGAGGGCAACAAGGTGTCTGCTTCACACCTTTGATTTCAGCACCAAGTATCCTGTGAGCCAGAGTTAAAATCTGCCCATTCTGTTTAACTCCACTCTGCTAAGCTCTGAGGCTTGCTCAGGAGTACTTTATATTTACCAAGGATTTGTATTTGTCTTTCCATACTTGTAGGAAGGATACTTTTCAATACAGTTTTACTGAGATTCCTAATTTCACCCCAAAAAACTATCTCCCATCTGTATGCACAATACCCAGCACTTGTGTTGGTTCTCTTTCCTCTAGAGACCTCTGCAGGATCTCTGAGCAGGCAGCTTGGGCCATCTTTAGCATTTTCTGCAGGTCTTTCTGTTCCTGAGGCGGTAATTTCTTGTGCTGGCTGATGCTGATATCAAATATGCCGAGAGTTTGTCTTGATAGGTCATGGAGAGGTACTGCAATGTGGTGTTCTCCATAGATAGAAGTGAGAGTGACCTCTGAACTGTCTGTGCACTTGAACAGGTAATCTCTGAAATGAAATGTGCTAGGGTTTACAATCCTGGTTGTTTTGGTGATTTACTTAGCATATTTAAGATGCCATTCATCTCTTGTTGTTAAAATAAAGGTATTACATTAGTAAATCGTAGTTTATTTCCTTGAACTGAAATTTGCACAGCTCTAAGTAGCATTCAAGGCATGTTCACAAAGGAAAAAAATAGCATTGGGAACATGATATTACTTAGTCAAGGTGATTGCTGAAAATCAGGAGAATTTAACAAATCTTGCTTTAAAAGCAGTTTGCTGTTTCTAACTGCATTGACGTTTGTTCTAGACAGTCTTATAAAAAGTAAAAACAGCTGCTGGAACTGCAAATGGCTGCTCAGGCAACTTTGACAACAAGGATGATATGCTTAAAGGACAAGTCTGAGGATCTTGGCAGTGGAAGGAAACAGATAATTGAAGGAAATGAGACTAATATGGCCAGGAAAAAATACAGATTATTCTAAAGAGCAAAATGGCCTGTGTAGGCTGCAATTCTGCAAACCTTGGCAGCTCAGCTGGTAAGCATTAAGTCAGAAGTTTTTACAGCCTGCAGTCAAAGAGAAAATATTCCTCAGCCCTTCACAGTTCAGTGCCCTGTGCACACACAGCAGAAGCCTTGATAGTGAGAGCTGCAGCCAGACACTCCCAGGGCTGCTCTGCCAGGGGCTTCATGTAATGTGGGTCAGCCTGGTGCAGCTTGAGTCAAGGAGCAGAGGGGAGCAGTCCCATTGCAGGTGCTGGAACCTACCTGAGGAGGTTTTCCTCTCTGAGGAGAACAATGGGAGACCTGTGGATTTCCTTTTGTCCTGTGTTATCTGTAGTGATCATCTTGCACAGAGCATAGTTCTGCCAGAGAGAAAAGAAAGGTTTAGCTGCATCCAAGAAAGGTGCAGACATTTTGAAGCTTGGAGAGGGAGGAAATTATTTCTTATAGGAAACTCCCATGTACATTCAAGAGCAATGGGATTGTTTAAAGACATGTCCCAACACTGCTAAGTTTTATTCCCAGAGATGGGTGAAGAATGTGCCCTGGACCTCCCTCAGCCAAACTATTTAATCCACCCCAGGCTCTACACTGAGGAACACCCACAGGCCTAGAGGTTTTCCCATCCTCTTGAGTCGTTTCTCATGTCATGTTTGTGTCAGTGTGTCTTGACACATGAAAAGCACAGAGGGGACCGAGTGACCTGGCTATCAGGCAGCTAACAAGGAAACAGTGCTGAGCCTGGAATGACAACAGAACACTGCCAACATAAACCATGCTTATCAGAGGAAGCAGCTGAATTATGACTGCAGCAGATGTCATACAGACTTTGGGATGACATGGGATCAGTCCTAAATATTGCATATACTTTTTGTCTTCTTAACTCACTGGTACATGAAGTGACAAGCTTCCCAGGGCCTGAGTGCCTGCTGAACAACTGGAACATAACCTGCATGGAGTGGGGCTGCCTTTACAAGCTGGCTAATTGGGAACCAGTCACTTCCTGAGCTGTATTTATATCTTGGCTGCTGACATAAGTTCAGAAGAAAGAGCTAATATATTAGCTGGAACATTCTCTTGTCCCTATAAAATACCATAAATTTGACATGCAGAGGATCTCCAGAGAGAAGCATTTTCCCTAGTGGAAGTCCCAGACAGCAAAGCTATGGATGGATGGATGGCTGTGGGGATCTGCTCTATTGGTTGCTATGCAGCAGTGAGCACTGAAGTTGGAGAATACACCCTTTTCACATTGAGAAAGGGTTATACTAGCAGTGCTCTTGAATTCTTTTACATGGAAGGATGAAAAGAATGAAGAGGGATCTCCTTTACAGAGGGAATCTTCCATCTCTACCTTTGTACCCCTTTTGTTGCATGAACAGGCACAAGAATCTTGTGCAGGTTTCAGCTTTAATGATAAAACCACTGGAAAAACACAGGCAGCTGGAGATGGCATTTCCTCTCTAGAGCAGCCTTTGAGCCCCTGATGATTCCAGACCTTTTCTCTGCAGTACCTTGTCTGTGCCAGGTTCCACCATATAGGTTGTGACAGCGTGGATGCTGGGTGTCCTGGGATACAACCAGTCCAGAGCAGTGACAGCCACTTGGAGGACATTTTCCCGCATGCAGATGTGGTGGTAGGCTTTGCTGAATGCATGGCAAACTCCCTGTGAAAGCAGAATCCTCCAAGTGAGCCAGACAATTTCACACAATTTTGGAGAAAAAAGCTGGGGAAATGTTCATGTTGTGACAAATTGCTTTAATCAGAATTTGTAAAGCGGAAAAGTGACTGTGAAATGTCCCTTATCAAATGATGCCCTGAAGTGCTCAGTACCCAGTCACGGCCAAGTCCTTAACCAGACAGAGCTGCTTTTTAGTGGAAATAGCCAAATGGACCGGTAAGGTTGGTTTGCTGCGCTCCCTGCTGCCCAGAGGATGCATCCACAGTGAGGCTGATCCCAAAGAAATCCGGAGAGCTGTCACTTTTAATTATTCCACCACGTAAAAAGTAAGGTTTTGTGTCCTTTTATAGAAATGAACACAAATATGAGATTGAGAGCTTCAGGAAATAAAAACTGCTATCTTTGGGCTTTGCACAAAAGGTCAATTAACATCCTAGTCAGGAAAGATTAAATAAATTATTGATGAAGTGATACCTCATAATAAATTTCAGATAAGATGCTAATCAGCAGGATACTGATAAGGTGCTCTCCTTTTACCATATACTGCAGAAGGGGACCCACAGATATATTTTTAGTTGTACATCTTACATTTTCTCAGAACATGTAAAATTCACAAGTTTTTTGCAGGCTGGAGTAACAAACTGCTTTCTGATGGCTCCCACCTCATAGAAAGTGATCTCATGGGTCAGAAAGATGGATGTATGACTCTGGTCCCGAAGAGTGTCAAGTCCTAGAACACCAAAAACTCTCCAATGAGCATCATGCAGGGGCAGCACCAGGAGTGAACCTTTCTTGTCCTCCTCATGGTCATCAGAGCTCCAGAAGTGAATGTTTCCGTGGTGCTGAACTCTTGGAACATAGATTGGCTTTCCCTGGTCAATGGCTGCAAAGCTGAAATATAAATTTATGATGAGGTTTGTCAGGAGGAGCAGAAAACCTTTAGTGAAACAGTAAATACTGCAGCTTTGATCTCTCCCTTTTTTCTGGCATCAGAGAAGGAAGGTGTGAGCTCCATACCCTGACCACACTCAGCAATACCACATTTACCACTTGCATCCCAAAGGCAGTGGTAATAAAGAGGCACTTTTCATCCTTAGGACATTTTAAAAACATCAGCTAATGAATGGAATGAAAAGGAATACAGAAGCAAGTAGCAGTTACATTTAATAGGTTAGAGGCAGCAATGCTTAAAGAGACAAATATGTCTGGCTTTTGGAAATGACAAGTGAAGAAGCATGAAAGCTGTTTATAGCATAAACACTAGGGAAGGAAAGGCATTGTTCTCAAAAATATCCTGTGGATATAAACTGGCATAAGGGAATTAATTTTTAAAGAAGAAAATGTAGGCCCAATGCCACAGACATTTGCTAAAGGATGAGATTTATTAGACTGTGAGCTATTCTCCCCAAGGAAAGGAGTGAAATCCCAAACAGAGCAGTTCTAAGCAGACCATGTGGAATATGTATAGGATATTGGATCATTCCACAATAGTCTCTTGGGAGATTTCCTCTCTGGAGTACTCCATCAGCCTCAGTTTCCAGAGCATCCCAAACACTGCCCCATACATTCCAAGCAGTTTAGAGGAAAAGGAACAGGTATTTGCAGCTTTCCTTACCTGATTCCTTTCATGTCTCTGTGCAGTACTCGGTTGAGGATGTAGGGAGCATTGTCTGCAGTGCAGGCCACGTAGCGCAGGAGAACCTGTCCCTGCTCTGGGGAGAGCTGGTTCTCTTCCAAAAGGGCAATGTATGCACTGATTGTCTTGTTATTCCCGTGGGCTTCCATGTCCTAGCAACCAAATGTTCCCCATTACAGTCTGTACATTAGCCACTGGCACTTAATTAATGCACTTAGCAATTGTTTAATTTTTGCTGAGATGCTGCTCTGGGTCACCGAGTTTGTGTGTCACCCACTCCATGATGTGGCTGTGTCACTGTGACAAGCACAAACACTCAGTATTTTGATTGGCAAGGGAAACTGATTTCCTTTTTCCTGTTGCTAATGGGGAGAAGTAAATAGAAAAATAATCCCTAACTATAATTTGTGCCTAAGAAAAAGTCCTGTGGATTTATTCTCCAATAGGAGATTCCTTTTAGGAAAAAAAAAACCAAATTGCCACATTTACAAACCTAGAAAATACTGCAAGAACACTTCAGCTACACTGTGAGAAGTTTGGCTTTGAGGAGTGCTTTAATGGTGAGAAAAACAGCTAAAGTTGCAGCTGTAAATTAAAAATGAAACTATTTCCACTACAAAATAACCATCTTTTCCTAAACTGACTCTGGTGTGTTTCATCCCAGAAGCTCCAAAACTACAACTATGGATTTCCCTGAATCAGCTCTTCCATAAGTGAGACAAAATTATCCCTGAGATCCCTTCAGTACTGGGAGAGCAAGGATGCCTACCTGGTACAGGGCCTTGATCACTGCTTTGTACACTGGTTCCATGTTTGTTCCGCTGGTCTCAGCTGCTTTCTGGATATCCTGCAGCCATTTCCTCCTGGCTGAGCTTTGCAAGCTCTTGATGTGACTTTGTTCCACACTTGTGGTCAGGAAACTCACCAAGTTATCCATAGTTTCATCCTCATTGCCAGTGAACTTGGAAGCAATTAATTCAAGGAAAATCTGGAATGCCTTTGGGGATAGCTTCCCCACTTTACTGAGCTGTGGGTATCGGGAGCAAAGCTCTTCCTTTGCTAGTAGAAAAAAAAAAAAAGAAAATAAGAGGGAAAATTTAGTTGATGAATCAGTTTTGCAAAATAGGAAACAAACAAGACCTAAACAGGCTTCGGGTGGAGTCTGTCCAGCCCTTCCTTCTAGCTTCTTTTAGCTGTCTCCTACATGGAAGTGGGCACGCTAACAGGTAATCTCCAGTTTCCAGACTGGATGCACCCTTTTCTCTAGATGCCTGCTTCCCTCCCATGACAAAGAGCCCCGCACAGCGCTGGTTTCTCTGCTGGTGCTGCTTCACTCCGCAGCGGGTCTGTCAGAGCTGTCCCAGCGCGGGCAGGCTGTGCCCAGCCCCGGCTCTGGGCTCACGGGGGTGCTCTTGCACAGCCTGAGCAACGTGCAGGCGCTGCCTGGCTCCGGGAGCCCCGCGTTCAGGCCATCTCTGACTGATGCTCCCATCATCCTTTCTGCATCCTGTTTTCAAATCCTGTTGGACCCGAAGATGTCCCTGCTCATGGCAGAGTGTTGGGCTTGATGATCTTTACAGATGCCTTACAATCCAAACCATTTTATCATCATTATCACAGATTTTAGCTGAAGAAGTAGCAAGTACTAACTTGGCCTCAATTATGGTGGGGTCGTGATGCTTAATGCTGTCTTATCCAGCCCATCATCTAAGGAACATTCAGTATTCTAATTTAATTTCTGATTTTCTGACAGAACTAGGATGGAGAATTTTTTTGATCATATAAAATATTTGAATTTTTACCACCACTTTCTCCTCACTTTGAAGAAAGGGATGCAGAAAAAAACAGACATGAATTTGAATGTGCTATGATTACTTCTTTCACTACTGAGCAACAGCATAATGAATTATTTTCCCCTTTATATCTAATGTTACACTTTTCACTTGCAAGGACAATCAAATAATTCTACTCACTTTTTACTCTGTGTTTCCACCCAGGAGAAGTGCAATGTCTGTGAACCCTTCCCCCAAACCTGCTTGTCCCACACCCTTGAGACATTAGGTTGAGGCAACTAGAAATAATTCATGCTGCTGCTAGGTGGTATTGATTTTGCTATTCTCCCTTTCTATTTATTTGTCCTTTAGTTTATGAGCCTTTCATGGAAGGGACTGTGTCCTTCCATATTTCCATGGTATGTTCTGGCATGCTTTGAATGCAAGAGAGCAGTGAGCTGCCAGTTTCTCCTGGCTGGACAGCCTGGAGATTATTAACAGTGACATACTGGTGTGCTCCCCACCCCACCAGCTGCCTTCAGTGAGCTAAAGGATAAAGAGATTTTGGTGGTTGCCAAAGTGAGCCATTTTTAGTGATTTACAGCAGAATAAGTAACATGAAGATGAGCATGGAGATGAAAAAACCAGACCTGTCCACCCAAGCACACAGGTAGAGATGTTCTTAATTGCTAATACAGTGTTTCAGAGCACCTCATGCCCACATGTTAATATGCACAAGGCTGCCAGACAGGTTCAGGTGAATCTGCAGCACTTCTGCTGGACTAAAGTCTTTTCTATCAAGGACCAAATATGCTAAGTTTATGCAGTGAAATAACCAACAGAGAAGTGATACTCAAAGCTGCTCTGTAATTCATAAGAGCTGTGTGACAGTGTGAATAACTACAGGCTATTTGAGATCTATAAGGAAAGCTGTTCTCTCCTGTGAGGTACATTCCTGCTGGAAGCACAGCAAAATGTATCTATTAAAAATAGCTGGATTCCACAGATGGACTGGACTAAAAGTGCAAACATGTCCTCAGGCTTTATGTGTGCTTTTTCACTGCCATATCACATGTATACATTGCATGTTACAGCTGAAATAATTTTTCAACTCACTCCAGTGTCATTAAACCGTTGGGCTACTTCTCTGCCTGGGAATCTTGCACAGGAGGAGGGGATGGAGCAATGCATTAACAAATAGGTCTGGGTAACTGTTCCTTCCCATTTTACACCTCATAGTGTGTATGCTTATGACTGCTTGCAAAACCAAACTGGTGCTTGCAACAGCCTCATTAGCCCTGTCACCGAATGGTTGAAGACCTCCTGTGTTGTTCTCACAGAGCAGAGATTTTTCCTTACCCTTCATCAAGGCCTCTTTTCCCTTGTGTCCCTTGAATGTGCTCAGAACAGCAATCACCTCTTCCAGGTCCAGGGACCCACATGCTTTGCTGTCCCACTTTTCAAACAGTGCCTCCAAAAGATGTTTCCTTTGGGCCACGTGAGACATGCGGTGAACCTGCAGCAGAGGAACAGCTGGTGTTTGGTAACTCCTGGACACTGATGCTGGACACTACACAAATGGGGACACTACACACGTGTAAAAATTCCAAATTCTGCAGTGGTTGTGCCAATCACATAATTCCTATGGGCCAGGCCAAATCTGTACATACACGGCTCAGAGCTAGAGATGATTCATTAAACCTGGGAGATAACTTAGAAACACTAAACACAGGTGACAGTTCAGTTTACCAGGGAGGATCAGCACTGCAGAGAGTTATTTCACAGTGAACAAATTAAGCCTGTGCTGGATTTAAGGTGATGTCAGCTCAGGTAAGTGCAAGTTTCCCAGAACACAAATGTCTCCCCAGCAAGAGCTAACCACAGCCTTGTAGTGACAACAGACATGTGACAGTTCATATTTCTGTACACTGTTATGTTGCTGGTGCTGCCCTGAAGTGTGTGGGCTCCAAGCAAACACATGTTACCATTTGTCCTCTAAACCCAGCATAGAGGGATAACTGGCTGGAGTGGAATTCACTCAAAGGCCAAAATCCTGGCAGTGTGTGCTGTGTTCAGTGAGGACTATGGAGCCGTCAGAGCCAATATCTCATTCAAATTAGGTCAGCAGCACAGAGGGAAACCAGAAGGAGGTCTGAGGAAAACACAGCTAGAGAAATGCACCACAAAACAGACCTGAAGTGATATGAGGCACACTGATGCTGGGCATGAGGAAGGAGAATATTTTTTTTACAACACATGGCAAGAGTACCTTGTAACTTAAAACCAAATAAGCCTGTGCCCATTCACATCCAGCCATGCACATAACAAACCCAAACACACTTGTTTTAAAATCCTCCCCAAACATCCACAACCTTCTATGTACATGCCAGTGCAGTAGGTCAGAGTTCAGGTTCTTGGCTATTATAAAGGTGAATAAGCAGAATGGAATGTTTTGGGCTCTTTCACAATTAACTATCAACTGTTGTCTCACTGAGTCCAGCTCTAGGACAGACAGACAACCTCTAACAGGATGAGTCTGTCATCACTTCCAGAGCTGAGGGCTAGGGAGGGAGCATCTAGAATGAAAACAAAGGGGTAAAAGGTCTCCTGAAGGAACAGGGGATGCAAGGCTGCAAGTGGAGAGCTCTGCCAGCATCAGATTAACAGTTGACTTTGCAAAGTGTTTGTGGGCATTTGCTTGGTTTTTGTTTGGACATGAGATCAGCAAAACTTATCAATATTTACTCTTTCTCGTTGTTTAATTTTTTCCTCTTCTGTCTGTTTGTATTCTCTTTTGATAAATGCAGTAAGCCTCTTCACAGTAGGCACAGAAATGTCTTCACCAACAAAATTGTCCATGAGCTGTACAAACTGTGGCAGGGTGAGGCAGCTTGCAGCAAAGCTCTTCATAAAAGAATCCTGATGGTTCTGAATCTCTGCCACACCGGAACCTGAGTCTGAAAGGCAGAAAGCACCGTGTGTCACAGGAAGCCAAATGCTGCCCTAAAGCCAACCACGTGGCAGCTATCAACACAGCCCTCAATCCTGCACTTCCTATCCAGGGAAATTACAGCTGAATACAGACTGACTCCATGCTGAGTAAAGGCCTTAATCTGCTTATAGTGCTCTAATAGCAGCTCTGCAGATCCAGTCTGGCATGGATGCCATCCTAGAGCCAGGTCAAACCCTGACTGCAGGTGAGCTGGAATTGCTGTTACTCAGCAGGGGGCTGTCTGAGACAAAGACCTCGTTGAGAGACTGCTGTCCCAGACAGACAGGATGCACATCCAAGGACTGACTGAAGGACAGGGTAATGCTGTGCACTGGGAGTTACCACAGAAAGCTGTAGGTCCCAGGGGGCTGTACCATCAGCTTTACATGATGAACCTGTCACTGGATTGTTCAGACAATGCAGGCTTGGTTCTTGCAGTGTTCTGAACCGTGAGACACAAGAGTGTTCCCAGAGTGCTAGCAAGGAGGTTGGCCCTTCTAGGATGTTTAAGAAAATACCTCTTTGAAACACAGTTGTCTGATCACAGCCTTCCTAGAACAAAGGCCTTTGTAGACAATGAAGTAGGATCATCCTTTGGAAACACAGTGAGAGATTCAAATAAAAGGCTCCTGCTAGATGATCTCATAGCTCATCTCCCTATAGGCAGTCACAGTCTAAAAGTTATTTAAGTAATTTCTAGATTTAATGTGCTCAGGTTCCTGTCTTGCTATGGTAATATTACAGAGTCAAACAGAACATAAAGTTTCTCCTTATTATAAAAATACTGCTGCTTCACAGACTCTGTGAATTAAAGTGTCTGCTCAGGGCCTTGAATACAGATCACCAACAAAGTGACTCACCTGCCTCCTGTGAGAGGAATAAGCTCTGAAACCTTGGCAGAAAACACCATGCTGAGAAGCTATAGCAAAGCTTATGGTCTTCTCAACTCAGAAATCACTCACATGGTTTTGAAATGGATTTAAAACACCCTGTAGTTAAACCAATCTAAACATATACATAGAATATGATTAAAGTCTGTCAGAAAAAAGAAAATACTTTACCCTGGTCATGCAGTCTTATCTCTGAGCTTGTCTGTTGGTCAGACTGGCTCTCGTTGCTTGCAGAGGTTTCTTTCCCAGCCTGTTGGGAGTCAGTGGCGTCCGTGTCTGTCACAGCTCCCTCTCCTGAGGCTGTGCTTGTACCTTCAGGTGATATCCCTGTAACTCCACTGTCCTCTTGACTAACTTGCCCTTCTGATCCAGCTTCTCTGTCTGAGGTATAATCTTCTGGTTTTGTTTCTGTCTCAGGCTCACTGCCCAGGATGGATTCCTCTGGTTTTCCAGATCCAGGTTCTCCATCCAAATCAGCAGCTTCAAGGCCAGTGCTTTCCACTGCTGACATGGCATCCTCACCTTCCTTGCTCACTTCAGAAGCACTTGGCTCTGCTCCTTCATTTTCCTCCTTGGAAATTCCTCCAGTCTCAGTTTCACTCATGTCCATTTCTTCAACAACTTCTTCTGTAACACTGGTGCTCATTCTGTCAGTCTCTTGCCTATCATCATCTATAGATTCATATCCTAAAATCTCTGCCTCAGAAATTTCCGTTTCAGACAAGAACAAACTTTCACTGACTTCCTCACAAACTTCCTGGTCACCAAGGCTTCCCCAGAAATCCATAAGATTAATATCTTGCAGCTCAATTATTGGCCCTAAAACAAAAAATATGTGTAAGCTGATAGTGTCTACTGGTTTTATCTTCACTAGTATTGCATAAGAAAATTTAAAGAATAAAGGTAATTCCAAGTAAATACAAACTGCCAGAAAGTATCTTCTGCAAAGACACATCTCAGGAACACAAAACTTCAGAATAATGTCTTTGCCTGCAGAGATCTACTCTTCTGGCTAAGTATTACACCACTTTTCCTTTGAAATAAATATTTAATCATTCTCTACATTTAGAAGGAGGGATGTAATTCACCTTGCATTTGATCTCAGCAATTAATTAATGTCCAATATCTTTAAAATATTTTACTTTCATGCAGATGATTCCCTCCATTTTTTCTTTTTCTTTCTGGAGGTATTTTAGTGCAAACACAAAATTAGCTTCTAATAATCGTTTCAGAAAGAGTCTTTCTTTAATTCTATTTCCCAAAAAGTACTTCAGAATTTTGTAGCAAGGATAACTTTTGGATGCTGAAGCATTTCTGAACATTGCATGTGCTTGCAAATTCTGGTGTATAGGTCACAGCAGTCATTTGGGTCCCTTTTTTGGGCTCTGTTTATTTCTGGTAACACTTATAAAACATATCTGAACCATCCAGCCTTGTGTGGACTCCCAATGTTTTAACCACAACTGAAACATCCCACGTGCTCACATTCTCTGGGGTTCCACAGTTCCCACTTATGACTCGCGGACCTTCTGTCATAGAAGTGTCTCAGCAGGGCCAGTATTTTTTGTCTATCCAAGACACCAACCTAGATAAAAAGATTACAATTATTGGGTTTCTCCTGTGGTTCTTTGACTTACATCAACATTTGCAGCACTACAAAGGCACCATCAGCCAAGAATTACCTGTGGCTGATAATTATCCATTACCAGAACATCACTACAAATTCCAAAGAAGTTAATTTATTTCATAGAGGCAAAAATTTCTTCTGGGCTGAGCTGGAACTCTCCACACATATTACTTTGCAGGCTCTTCCTTTTCCGTGTCCTTGACAAATTACAGTGAGATAATTGTAACTGTTCTGCCAAAGGAGTTCTTCGTGTCGAGATCAAAGCTTCAACACTTCATCCTCTCAGGACAGATATTGATTGCCTGACAGTACCATGGAAGAATTTCCATCTATTATGGGCTGTGCTGTGTTACCTTAGTGACTGCACATTGTAGTTTGGTTTTGTGCCCCTTCATCTCCTTTGAAGTGTGATGTATTGGCCTGGAAACATAATTAGTCCAAAAATCTGAGCTATTATGACAACCTCCCTAATTTCCTTTAAAAATTCATAGACATTTGACCACAGAGGTGAGAGAGGTATCAGCAGTTCCAGTGTAGAGGAAGGTGCAGAGTTTATTAAATCCTTGTTGCTCAGGGTGAGTGTACACAGACGATAAACCCAGGAAAAGGCAATGGAATGGGTCATTTCCAATCAGGAAATTGTGGGGTTTAAAAAGTAAAGCAAACTAAACGATTGCAAGTTTTCCATTTTATGATGTATTCCCATTGTCATTATTTAAATCCTGCCACCTTTGTAATCTCCTTCCCATTAGTGAAATAAAGTAGTTAATTAGGAAACAGATTTACTTAAGTTCATTATTTGTAGTGAATAGCTTTCCATCTGAATTATTGATTTCCTTTTCACATTTTGTTCTTAGATTAAAAACTGCAAAATGTAAATTTCACCAGGCTTTTAATTCCTTGTGAACTTTGCCTGCCCTTAGACTAAAGAAATAAAGGAAGAACTTTGCTGTTCTTTTCTGGAAATTAGCTTAAGATGACTGCATTGTTTATAACCTGAAACTGTAATTCTTGGCAGCAATAGTTAAAAACAGAGGATATGGAAACAACCCAGAGACCCAACACATCTCACCCACTGATGAAGTTAACGCTGGAACTAAGTGAACACATCACATTTGCTGGTACAGCAGCACCCTCCTCTACAAGGAAGGGGTTTTGCCAGTTCTGCAGAAAGGACCAGAAGTGAAATGTAAGAAGCCATCTGGTACAATTTTAGTGCTTCAGTATCTGGTAATTTAATTCTTGCTGGTAAAAAAAAAAAATGCTGGAAGTCAGGATTGAATTTCAGCTATGGGTAGGTTTGGAACAACAAATGTCCTCACAAAATTCTGTCCCTAAACTTACAAGATGTAGGTCCTGATTCCCAGTATCTTGATATTAACATACAGATACCTTGCACACCCCTGTGCAAACATTTCTTCTTGTTATTTGTCTTTCAGTTGAATAGATCAGATCATGCTCTGATCCATTTAGGAGATGCACAAACACACAATGTTTTAAAGGTGTTCCCAGATCACTGTGGAATATTTGGATCCTCCATTCAGTATTTCCATTACACACACTTAATTTTCCATTCAAATTTCCTCAGCTGTTACTCATCATAATCATCTGCTGGCTGCCCTGAACTTTGCAGCACTAAAGCATAATTTTACTTCATTACAATGGGAATAGATGAGTGAAGTATTATTAAAAAGAAAATAAGGATGTTGTTTTGGGATTCAGTTACCTTTTTCTCATATTAAAATAATATTATTGGAGGATTAGGTAACTCAAATTCTTGAAGAGTTTTTTGTTCTTTGGATTCAAAAATTTTATTTTTATATAAAAACAGGTAAATATATAAAAATAGATTAAATAGCTGAAATTGCCAAATATTAATAGGGATTTATTGAATTATTTAAACATTTCCAATTTACACAGATTTGCCATTTTAGGAGGGGTTCCTGTTATTTCAGGACACTTTTCCTTATGACTTACCCTGAGAGGAAAATGTCACAGTACAGCCACCTATAGAAGAGAGAAGCACTACAACAAGAAACCATTTCCAACTCCTCTCCCCAGCTGTGCTATTTTTCCCAGTTCCTAAATTTAGTAGAAAAGGTGACTTTTCTTTGCACTTGGTGTGTGACTGAGGAGGCTGATGACAGATTCCTGCCCACCTGCCCTTCGTGCTGCACCTTGTGAGCAGGGCAGGTACAGCCTCTCCTCTCCACAACAGAAATCCATCTGTGTTTGTACAGCTGCCCAAAACTCGGGGCAGCTTTAGTGCCCAGGGAATTGAAACACGTTGACCTAATTTTTTTGTCACCTAGATATTGGCAGGTGATGATTCTCAGCTGTTTTCAGCAATGTTCTGTGACCTGTGAGTAATTCCTTTGGCAACACAGACTAAACCAGACTTGCCATTTAATCAGGGATAGGTCAGTGTTTAACCACTTGATTGTTTTTCTGGAAATGTGATGTGTGTATCCTGAGCCCTACAATGAGCTGGTTAGTGAGCAAGAGGGTAGAACAGACACTTAGAAAAGGGCATGAGAAAGCAGACTTTGTTGTTGCTGTATGGCAAGAAAGATAATCAGGGGTGTCTCAAACTACATTGGCTTGAAAACTAATCTCTGACTAAATTAAATTTAATTTTAAAATCCCTTGTTTAAAACATCCCTGGAAATTAATGAAGAGTTATAAAATAAACTGATACAAGTGAGCACAGGGACAATAAGTTAAAAATTCACTGAGCCATTGCTTTTTGGGGTATTATAGCAGTGATCCAACTGTGTTCTGGGGTTGTCTTGGCAAGTTTCTGCTGCAGTGGATAGTCCAGGCTGTCCTTCTGAGCTGCCATCCTTCTGGATGCATGCATTTGAAATCATAATAATGATCATGTGGATACCTTCTAATTTGACTGTAATTTAAACACTGCTTTCTCAGCTCCCTGGCCCTAATTGCAGCTCATTGAGGCAGCCAGCCACACTCACCATGCAGACTGGAATAACTGCCTGCTACCAAACAAATGGAAATTAGGAACTGAAACAACTGCTTTGCTGTGCTGTGTAGAATGGGCTCTACAGGTAATGGATCACATTCAAGTGCTAGAAGTCCTTGGGTTACTTTGCATTTTATCTCCCCTGTGGGTACAGTAGAACTTTACAAAAGAAACCAGGCCAAGTTTAAAAGAGCTGCGTGGCCCACACGACACTTTAGTGAACTCAATTTGCAGGGCAGGGCTACCTCGGAGCCTGGAAACCACAACTCTGTGCTCTGATCAGGTTTTTTTTCAGCAGCAGTGGCGTCATTGCTGATAGCTGCTCACTCCTGTTGTGTTAGTATTTTTGGCTCTCTGCCTCTGAGATTCCACTGGGATTAGCAGCATAGAGATGGTGATTACTGCCCACAGAAATAATAGGAAGAAAGTCACTTTAAAACACGAAAGGAAAGAAGGGATCCTTTGGAAATCCGTGGCAAAGACAGACTCAGGTTTCTGTATCCTTGTAGCCAGGAGGATCCATCACAGCCCTTCTTGACAGAGCCTTAGGAAAGTCAAATGTCTCCTAGCTGGGAAGCAGACACATTTCTTCCCTCATCCTGAAACAGCAGCTTGCCTGCTATTCTCTACAACACACTATTGGTGTTGAAATGAGCCCTGTAATTCCTTTCTCTTGGCAGTAATGACATTATTAGCATGACATTGTACAGCACAGTTCACTCTGGGTAGGCTCTGCAAGCATAGCTGGAGGAGTGCTGGGTGGAATATAAAATTTATGTAGGGGAGAAAACCAAGGTTAGGGCAACTGCTTGCCCTGTAGCAGCCAGCAACTGCCAAACTGAGGGTTCTCATAACAAGTACCACACTTTTTGGATGAAGCCCAAGTTTTTAGCAATAGTTTATGTCATTGATTCTTCAGTTCTTACTATTTACTGGTTTTCTAATGAGTCTAGCACTTTTTTTGTTTGCTTTTTAATGGAGATGCAGGTGTACTGAGAGGATGATAGATAGAGTTTAAAGCTGCTGAAAACCAAATTATGGCTTTTGAGTTTCATTTCCAACTCTGTAACTGACTTACTGTATTTTAATTTCCTGTCCATAAACTGTGGCTGAAGTTCACAGTACTGTTCTCAGAGAGGCTGTAAAGATGGATTATTTTGCATTTTAAATTTTAACTATGAGATTTATTGATAGAAGCCCTTCAGATCTATAAAGTAATGCAACATAATTAATGCAATATATGTAATTATTGAATTAATGTGCACATTTGTTAAAGTCAATCTACATCAGATTAGCTTTGCTGAAATGTGGCTGAATAGATAAATTAGCACTCAAATATTCTGAACGTGCTGTGGAAGCAGGTAACTTTTTAGAATTAAAGGCCATGGTTAATTTCTTCTCCAGAATCACCAAACTTCAGTCCCAAGTCATCAATTTAGGTAATTCAGTTTCTAATTAGCCATCAGTTAATAGGCTGTTGGATGTTTCTGTGTCTAAGAACTATGATTTTAACAACAGTGCAGCAGCTATTGCTCTCTAAAATACTGCTGAGTAAGCACAAAGAGAGGATCTAGAGTTGAGGAAAAGAAAAAGCAAGCAGTGACCCAGAGAAATACCAAACTGGGAGCATGCCCACATTGAAATTAGGCTGAGCTGCTTTGCCTACCTTTCCACGATCACAAACTTGGAAGAGGTCAATAAAAATTTGCCTCCGTGTGTCATTCTTTGTTGCTTCTTGGAAGTCCTCAGCACACTTATGGAGATATTCCACGATTTCTTGGAACTTGTCACTTGAAACATGTTCAGCATAGGAAAGGATAAGCTATAGAGAGAAAGCAGCAGTGGACATGGTTATCTTTCTTCAAGCATTTTCACCTTTAGTTGAACTCCTAAAAATCTATTACATGCAATCAAATATTTAGGAATTTGTAATTTAATCTGCCAACACAACACAGACTTGGTGCCTACTTCATTCTCCCCTTCAGGAGAAACAATAATCTCCAAACAAGCCTGGCACACTGCAGAAATCTGTATCCTGAACAGTTCCTTTCCTGGTCCAGAGGTCACTTATCAAGGTCAAGCAGAGATGCTGGATCAGATCCCTCCTATGAAAAGTTGTGGCTTAAGCTCCATTTTCTTGTAGAGGATTTAAGTTCTCCATGGTTTTCTGCAGAATTAGTATTCTTGACTTCACCCCAAAGGAGACATTTTGAGCCATTACATTCTGCAGGGGTGACAGTCACTCAACTCTCAAATGCCACAAAAGGAGCATTGCCTACAATTTCAGTGTTTAGAGAAGCAGTTGGATACAATAAAAAAATGGAAGATCCTTTTGGAAATGAGCCTGCTGTCACCCAAGTCCTCTGACACTGGGAATACTCCTGACTTGAGACTGATTTTACGTTCCAGCCTTGGAGACACCTTAACACTTTGGATTTATAGCCATGTGGCTTTTATGAGCAAAAGCAATATGGTTCTAAAAATGTGGTGTGCATGACATAAATAATAATGGCCATCAGAACAAACCACAGTCCCAGAGCCTGGGCTGAATTATTACAGTAGGTTTCTTGAGCCAGCCACACTAACAGGGAGCTCATACAGTTAAAAGGAGGAATTTCCAAAGCACAGAATGTTTCCCATTATCCCATTTTGAGAGTATGGATACCTGACATAAGTGCTAAAATATCTTGGGCTTGTTGAAATGCCACACAGGCAATAACCAGCTGAAATATTAATATATGTTATTATTATTCATGTCTATATTGTGTTATTTCCAAATATATGGGACAAGTGGAGAAGAGAGGAAGAATAGAAAAAAAGCAATGGCCTGAGGGGTGGCTGGTAGGAAAGAAGAGCTCCCAATGCAATGTGGGTTTTTTCTTCATTTCAGCATAAAAAAGGATGTAGTTTGGAGAGAAGGTGGCACATCTGGGGCTATGAGTATCCAACCAGCTTCTTGGGGTTATTAGAACCCAGAGCCCTGTGACAGAGGAACCTTAAAGGTGAGGCTGTTGGGGTCAGGCAGGTTGGACAAGCAGTTTGTTATTCTGAATGTCACCTTGATGACACATCCAAAGGCTCCTGCACTAATACTGTGTCTAACAGCTTCACAGGACACTGTTTACAAGCACCATGTGGGCAGGAGGCACCACCACAGGCTTAAGCCTTTCTGAGCTGATGTGTAAATTACTGTACACATAATTAACATACATTAATTTGTTATTAACTGAGAGATTTTTGACACCTCTCCAAAGAAAGCTGGCACGCCTCCTTCTTGCTACCCAGAGTCCTTGGTATAGTTTGTGACCACATTATCATCAAAAACAATGGATCTGTTCTTGTTCCTACTGATCTCACTAGAAATGGAGAAAGCCTCATACAATCGTGGAAAATAATCTCACCTTTAAAGCCTGATTCTGACCCTGCAAAGACAATGTGAGCATTTCCCTTGGTGTCAATAGCTTTGTGCCAGACTGCTGGGGGTTCTGTGTGTTAGAGCACAAAGCTTGTGAAATAAACCATTAAGGGCTGGTCCCTGGGATTTAAATGCTTTTCATATAAAAGACCCCACGAGGTTGTCACAAAGGATGTAAGAATACAACAGCCACTGTTCTGCATTTCTGAAAAAAAACCAAAACCAAACCTGAAAAACAATGATGTGTGAGGTCTCTCTACTGAGTTTCTAACAGCCTTTAAGTAACCCAAAGCTGCACTAAATTCAAGGAAGAAAAAAAAAAAAGTGCCTTTTAATTTTAAGGTCCATTAAAAGCAATGCTTTCCACATGGGAAAGGGCCCTGACCAGCGTGGAGGAAGATCCTCTCTTTCTGGGTTTGGTGGATGATGGAAAGGGGTGAACAAAGGTAAATTGTAGCTGAGGATTAGAAGCAGCCCTGTCCTGATGATGGAATAGTTCCCAAGGGAAGTGATGAAAGCCTCATCAATTGATTCAATTAAAACCAGACTGGAAAAAGAATCAGAGAATATGTTCTGAGAGAACATTCCTGGCAAATCACACAGCCTGACAATCCATGTCTTTCGTGCTTCTGATCTCTGTTGTCATATCTTTAATTGAGTTAAAATAAAGAGTACACAATGTACATTTTAAACAGTTTTCTAATGCTAATGGAGCATGAATTCATTCAGTGATTATATATATGTACCATAGGGGTTATGGACTGATGCTTCATTGCAGTGACAAAAGCAATTCTCTGGGCTCTCATTATCCACAATAGTCTTCTTAATTAGATGCAATAATTCTGAGGTTAAATTCAAAAATATCTCATTTCATGCTTAAAAAAACCTTCAACAAGTTACCATAAAAATGCATCTCTGTGCAAAATACCAAACATGTGAGTCTCCTGAGAGGGAAGAAAGCACAAAAAATCACACATGGTTGCTTGGAATTAGTCTCTGCACAGCTGCTTTATACTCTGGTTTTAATTATTACAACAGTACCCACTAGCACTGCTGCAATGAGGGTCTGCCATTATTCCTATTCTAAACACCCCTTTTTACAGGTTTAATTACCCAGCCATAAAATCCAGCTCTGTTTCAGGTAAAAATTGCTGGCAAAGCCTTGGCCTGGACAGCTTTCAATAAATAGAGTTTGAAACAATTTGGTTGTTTTCAGCTTGAGGAACAGCAGAGTAATGGGGTGAAACTTCAAACTGCATTTATGATTTTGATGAGTTGAAACCACACTTCTGATTTTTCCCAATGACAGCTTTTGAGTTTAAAACTACTTGGTTATGTTTCATGAATATTTATGAGACTTGTTGCAGTTTGTTTATGGCTCAGACAAGTGATAGTTCAGGACAAGGCTTCTCATCCCAGGTCTTCATGGCTTGGTTCATCCTGGTTAATGAAACTTAATCAGAAATTACAATACTGTGAGGATGTTACTAATTATCCCAGGCTAATGGTTGTAGTGGGACACCAAACCCCCTGTGAGTCTGAATTCCCAAGTGATTCAGGGCTTTGACATTTTAGAAAGGGATGAGGAGGGGTGTCCTAAAAACCACTGCTCCAGGAGTCACTTCCCAACAAACAGCAAGGCTGCAGCTCTGAGGAAAGCAGAACAGTTCCCTCCAGCTGGCCAGAGTGGAGTGTGGTGAGAGGATGGAGATGGAATGTGAAATGTCCAGATACAGCCAGTTACCTGGGATGCTGGAGAAGGGCAGCCCTTCACTTACTCCTCTAGGCTCTCTCCAGGGAAATGCTGGCACTTTGTGACAAATGCCACATTCTGAACCAAATGCTCTTATTTCATTTCTCACCTTTGTGAACTTATCTAGGTATACTGGTTTTTCCAATGTGTTCAAGATTTTCAGCTTCCTGTCATGGGTTGCTGGTAAAACAAATGAAGGGATATTGGTTTAGAAAGCAACAGTTGTGATTTTGCATATTTTACACGTATTTTTGCACGATGTGCTGTTACATTAACTTTCTTCTCATGTTGGATGACATTTATTTGAGGTTATCCCACAGTAGCTGAACCATCTGACTGTATACAGAGCATCTAAATCTGCTTGCATTTCTCTTGCTGAGAATCTCCATTTAGCTATTCAGAACTGTAGAGTCATATTTATTCTTGACATAAGTTGGTGCAAATTGCAATGATTTTAACAGTACTTACAACTAATTATGTGAGGGAGGAAATGATTTTTGATTTAACAAACAGATAAAACTGCCTTAGAACTCTGGAGACATGGATTCTGCTTTGCAAGAGAAGAATCTGAAAATCATAGTAATTTTCTCAAGAATATGGGAATATTTTTACTGATGATGATATTCAAAAGTATGTTTTGGTCAGCTTCTGGTTGCTATAATGGAACTGACAAGAGACATCAAACATCTATATAGGTTTCTGAATGAGTTCTTTGAAAACAGACATGCTATTTCTGTTGGCATTATTTTTCTGTTCTTTCTTCTAAATATATCAGGAATAATGAGAAAAATCATCATAGAATGCATTTATCTCTTGTTGGTTGATATGTTTCTAAACTGTACATTATCTTTATTGAACTATAAATCAGACTGTAATGTTCTATTAATGTACATTGAATGCTATTAAGTGAAATAAATTAAGTTATGGAGCCTATTAGGGAAATAGTACAGAGAGCACTCCCAGCATCTGGTGAGCAAATATCTGGGCAGGAAATTCCTCCACAATCTCATGTCCCAGGTTCTGTTTGCACTGGGAAAGCACAGCTCCACAGCAGGAGCACAGGGGCTTTGTTTGGCAGTCACACAACATCCTACCAACATTGGATGATTACTCAGAGGAACAATTCTGTAATACAGACAGGGTGAGTTCCAGGTGTCTGTTGAGAGGTGACTCCAGCAGCAACAGAAACACTCTGGAGTGTCCTGTTTATCATCCCAAATCAGCAAAGACACATTTGTTATCATTCATGATCATTACAGGCTCTCAGTGTAAAGGGCTGGCAGCAGGCTCCTGTTGCCACTTCAGTGTTCCTGGTTCTGTTCAATTATCATCATCTGGGGAGGTCAAGTGTGAGCTGTACAAAGTGGACAGGAATTATGGAAATCTTTCTGAGCTGAGTGCTCTGGGCTGTGTCACTGCATGCCAAGGGAAGGGCTTGCTGACATGATCTATTGGTTGGAGCATTTGGTAAACCTCAGCAATTCCTCTGAAACCATCACAGGTAACAACACTGTCAGACTTTAAGTTTGTTGATCCCACTTTTGTTCCATATCTACCAGTATGCCAGTATTTCCAAGACCTCCCATGAGACAAACTCAAAAAGGAGGAGGTTGGCACAGTGACTCTTAAAAAAAGCAGTAAGCACATGGCAATGTGTGGCTAATAAGGGATGTAAGTGGAAAAGGTCTGCATCTGGTCTTTCTAGCTCCATGAAAGATTTTTTAAGCATTTTTCCATAATTTTCAAGATCATATTAATGAATTACATGGTGGTTCAGTCTCTTTCCCATCTATCTGAAGATTTGTGGTTGGCATCCTGATGTAACTACCCTTAGAGATTCTTTCTCTGTTATCAAATCCATTTGCTGTTTGCTCACAGTTCACATCAGAATTCAGATCACAGCAATAAAACTAAGGAAGACACATTGAAAACTTGCCTTTTCTCATATCTTCAGGGATAGAATCAGTGACATCTGGAAAACACCTCAAGGCACTCTGAACCTAAAAATCAAGGTAATAGCCTGTGTCATGCAGACAACAGTAGACAATTACTAAAATAAATCACCCAGAATAATCAGACATTTGGGCCAGTCATGGGTCTTACACACAGGTAAGATTTGTGAACAAGGCCCTGTCCCCTGACCCTGTGGTGGCAGAGCCATCACCCATGCTTGTGCCCCATGCTGCCATGCCAGGGCACATGGCACTAGCACAAATGTCCTTTTCATCCTGTCTGCAACAACCACAGCAGGATCTCCCCCAGTTACCAGTGCTGCTGGGATTCTTTCATGGCCATCCACTGTCCACTCCTTGAACAGAGCTGCCAACACCTCCTTTCTCCTTGCTGTCTCCTCAGCCTTCTGTCTTTCCACCTCCTCCCTTTCCTCATGTATCTTTTTTGCCTCAGCCCTCATCTGGACCAGCCTGTAGGACATGGGAACATGGATTAGAAAGAGACCATCACAGGCATACTTAAGAGTGATTAAGCCTACCCTAAAGAACAAAACAAAAGGAAGCAACTCTTTGCTGAAATTCCTGTCTATATGGAAGACATTTAATGAAAAATCATCTGTGCAGCTCTCCTAGTTTTGTGTCATTTCAACAGTGACACATTTTACCTTCACATTTATAATGACATTCATCATTTATTGTGTAGATGTCCTTCAATTTCCTTTCAATTCTACCAGGGAGACAGGTGCATAATTTGCTACACTTGATTTACCAACAAAATTGCATCAGACTTCATTGTCTCCAAACTCAAGTACCTTTTCACACAAGCACTTCACTGGCAAAGAACAATGTTCAATAAAATTTCTGAAGCAGCCTCACACAATAGAGCCCTCACTGCCTTAGGACAGGGATAATACCTCAGCCTCTCCATCATTTTCAACACATGGAGTTTGCAGGTTTGGACTGCCAGTCAGCTCCCTTTCTTCCTGCTTTTGTTTTCTTTGCTTCTCTAAACATCCAGCCATGTTTTTCCCAATCCTCCATTTCACACAACAAAAGAAGTGAAAAAATTGATCCTGAACTCATCTGCTTTGATTTTGACTTTGTTAATTTATGAAATGGGGCAAAAACCTTTTAGGAAGGTCAAAATGCTTAAAGCCAAATGATCAGTTCATATGGAGAGAACAGCTCCTGTTCACGGAGGCTGCTGGAATCTCTCTGCACTGAGGCAGCTGCTCATCTTCATGGCCTTCACACCCTCTGCAGCTATTCAGAGAAAGGGGAATTGCTCCTCTTTTATACCTGACAACTCCAAAAAATATATTTTGGCTAAGGATTCCTGCTTCCTTCTTCCCCCTGTGTGTCACATGCTGTGAAATGGGCTGATCCTGTCCCTGCCCTCTTCCGTTCCTCTGGGGTCATCTTACAAATTATAACCCATCAATATTTTCTTTAATGAACAGAAAGACCTGTTTTACATGTCACAGCAATACACTTTGATCACAGTCAGTTTTATCACAAGGTCCTTGTTCTTCATGGCCATTTATCACAGAGGTTTCTTAATGAATCTTTTGGTTCCTTAATTGATGGTGGGCATTGCACAAGTGCTGCTGAGGCAGCTCAGCCTCGGGCACTTTGATAGCAGGGGGAGGGTGAAATATTTTCCCAACTTTTGACTCCCTCCCAGAGCTGGAGAGGATAAGAGAAGGAATGCAGCAGGTACCAACCTAAGTGGACAAACAGATTTTTCTCCAATGCAGCAGAAAGAGAAAATCAGACCATTTGTAGAGGTAGTTCCTCCTCTGTCTGCAGACTGGAAGCAGAGCCTGGGCTGTGCTCAGAGCTGCCAAGGTGCTCTGGTGATTAATTTGGGCACTGCCCAGCACAAGTTACATTCTGTGCTGCACCTGCACTGGGCCACAGTTTTGCATTCATTTCTAGGGTCATAAAACTGGGCAGCTGCATCCTCTGCCTGGTGTCCCTCAGACAATAATGGCAAAACAGGGGTAACAGAACCAGGCACCACCCACTGCAAAGTGAGCTCATTTTGGATCAGACATTTCCAGAAAAGATGAGATGGCAGCGAGGTGACTTCTCCCTGCAGAACCAAACATGTTTCCTCAGGAAGAGAGCTGCCTGCCTCCCACACAGGGAGGTGACTCAGCCTGAAGGACTCCCATCCCTGGACAAAGGCTGTTTCAGGTATCAGTCCATGTGCATAAGGAATTTCTCCCATCTGTTCTCCTTCCTGCCTTGACTCTCAGTCAGGTGCCAGTTAAGGAGAAACTGGAGCAAGTCCAAGAGAGCTCGCTGAGGATAGAAAAGTGTTAGATGGGAACCTGTGATGAATCCTGCCATGCCTGAAGGTAATGCCAAGGCTCCCAGGACCTTCATTTGGGCCAGAATTTCATTCCTCACCTTTCTGGTGCTTATGTGAGAGGTGTTAAGCACAGACTGGCATTGCTCTTGTAACAATTCCAGCCTGTTTAAATCCAGTGACTCACATGAGGAGTCTCACTGCTGTGTGGTGCTGTTAAAATCCTGTGTTGCTGTGATTTAAGAATCCCATGCAAATCCCACAATACAGTCATCACAAATATGTAAATCCTGAGCTGCTGTGAATGCAAATCCCATGATACTACTAGCAGTGGATATGCAAAACCTGCTACAGCCATGATTACAGAACCCCCCTGGCAATGCTGTCTATGGAGATATTTATTTCTGTAAGTCTTGATAGTCACTTCCTTTCACTCAGTTCTGAGAGCTACAAATGCAGAACCTGTCTCCAAATGTAAAGATGGGCTTAACAGCCAAGGTCAAGATAACAGGTCATGGGTAGCCAACACTTTGTATTCAACAAAAGTCTACTCCAAAACCCCAGGAGATTTTATGCATTTTAGTTCAATTACTTTTTCAAAATAAAAGAGATATATCCAGGTGTCCCTCTGTGAAGCTACAGGAATGATAAAACTGTTCCCAAAGCAAAGGTGTGGCAAGGCTGACATCCTAAACATCCCCCCAGAACAGCCTGTGCTCGAGTGCAAACTCACTGAAAGACATATTTCCCCAGCTCATTTGTTCCAGTGGACCAACATTTAAAAAACAGTAAATAGAACTGAAATTCTTTTATCAGTGACTGTATAAAATTCACTTCTCATGCTGCTTGGTTGTATTCACATCAGGCATGTTCCTACAAACTGCAGTAGTATGTTTAATTGAAATGTGGAGACAGAAGCTCAGATAGAGACTTAACATATCCTTTTAAGCATTATAATACTGGGAACTTCAATTATCTTCATTTAGGGTTTATGCATAAGACATGTCAACATTTGACTTCCCTAATTCCTGACACTGAAACCAATTTTCAAGGTGTATGCACTATTTATGCAAATAGAGTCATTCAAACAGAAATCATTATTCTACAAACACAGATACAGAATAAAGTGATCTAGTAGTGAATAAGTAATTTTGACATTAATCACAATCATCTCTGGATCTTCTATGAACTGAAAAGTTCACATCTATATTTTCCTGAACAGAGCAATGAAAATAAATTATTGTTCATCGAATGCTCTCACATTTTAGCATTTTGTAAGGTGCCATGAAACCCCATTCCAACACTCATTAAGTATTATACTAAAGCAAACAGCCCAGAAATAAGCAACAGAACAAAATACAAAACAGTTTCTACTTTAAAAGGAAAAACAGAATATAAAAGGAAAGCCTAAATAAAAATCAATCTTGGGTGAAGGAGTTTCTACAATGTGCCACGACAATGTTGTTGGCTTAGTCAAGAGAAATCATCCTGAAGGAGGAAAAAAAGGTTACGTTTTTATTAAGTTTGGAAGACTAGACTATCTGAAGAGTCTCCAGACCTTTGATATTAACACCTGTCCCAAAGAGCTGCTGTCACTAAGCTAGACCATCTTGGAAGCAGTTTGCATTGCTCATGTGTTAAGATAGAGTCTAAGGAGGAATTATATCCTTGTGAAGGGCAGAATATTTCCTTAAAGAGGAATAACTAGTGTTTCATTCTGTGTGCCATGTTCTGGCATTAGTCCTGCTTCTCAAGTTTTTATGAGACAAATAAATTCCTGGCACTGCACTCCACAAGGTGTGTTTTGCTCGAGATTGTGCCAGCCAGGCTGCAGGGACATCATTCCTTTTGTAAAACAGAGACCAAGACACCAGCTCTGGCCTTGTGACCAGCCACCCTGTCAGTGCTCTCACCTCTGGGATGTTGTACCTTGCCTCAAAGACTTGAGCTCCTCCGAGACCACCTCCATTTCTCTCAGGTATGGGCCTGGTTTTGTAGGAACACTGTACTGAGGGTTATGCCTCATCAGGTATTCTGCAAGATAATTAATGGGCTTAAATCTGCCTGGTTCTTGGTCTGATACAAGCACATGGTTTCTTTCCACTGCCATTAACAAATTTTCTGTTCCTGGGATTAATGTAGGGAGGAGGTTGTCGAGCAAATAGAGGCGAGTGTCGAGTGTCTTCTCCTCCTCATTGTACCACTCTCTGGCCAGGCAGGCCCCAGCTTCTCTCCTCCTCACCTTTGCTTCTTCTGCCTTTTGTGCTTGAACCAACCTCATCTTTGTCTCCTGCAGACTCAGACACCTTTGCTGTACCTTTTCATGAAAACACTCTTTCCAGGAAGTGTAATTATGAGGATGTGGCAGTTCATGACCCCCCTGACTGCCTTCCATCTCTGTTGCAGTCCCATCCTTATGTCCAAGTTCAGGATCTGGTAGATCTGCAGATTGGGCTAATTCTTCTGGCTGAGCAGCCATAGCTCAATCACTGTGACACAGGAAAAAAGGAGCTGTTATGTAATGCCAAAAGATGCAGCAGTGCCCTAACAGGTGACACAGGAATAGAGTCTATTGTTAGGCATTAACTAATATTTTTTCTATGTTCCTTTTTTATTCTGTTACTGCTGCTTTGTACTCTTAAATAAATACAGACCCTTTACTTCAAAGATCAGTAAATGATTTATAAAGATTAATTATGTATCACAACAGCCCTTGGAGACAGAGCAACGAAATTAATGTGTTCCTTTCTTAGGGCAGAAGAAACTGAGACACAAAAGGGGAATGATTAATTCCAGGTCACTTAGAGACTCAAACCAAGCAGTGAACAGTGCTTGGAACTTGTCCCCCCAGTTCCAACCAGTGGAATCCTCTTACCCCCAGCACATAATTTCTGTTTAGGTCCATTCCCTGCCTCCAGGAAATCCAGTGGATATGAGACAAAGGAAGCAAGTAATGGAAAATTCCAGATACCCAGGAGCAAGATTCCTCTACATGCTTCCTCTGCTTCAGCTTTTCTGAGGTTGTGAAGAACATGAGGAAGCTTGTCCCACAAACTGTTTCACTTCAACTGTGGCAACTTTTTTTGCTCTGGACATTTTGTTAAGGTAACAAGGACACAGGTGCATGGGTCAGCAGAGTTACTACAGAAAGGAGAAACCTACACTATGAATTCTGCGATTAAGTTGCTCATGAGCATTTTATGTTGTAGATCACTCTGTAAAATAATAATCCCTTTTTACAATTTCAAGAACTTCACTGCTTAAAATGTTCATTCTGTGTAATATCAGGAAAAAACTGAGCTGCTCACAAGGCACAATTTGAAAAACGTCCCTATATATCTCCATGAATAACTGTCTGCATCTGGAATGGGATTAACAGACACAGAATGGAGCAGAAGACTGGCTACTACTTGATTCAAAGCATGAAAAATCAGCAGCATGCTGAAAATTCCCCAGCTCAGTGTTAAACAACAGCAAGGGAAGGGTGATATTAAAAAATAATCTAAAACCGTTCCAAATTAGAGATGAAACTCTACTCTGAACTTGTTGCCACTCTACCCTCTTCAAGTTTTTATTTAAAAGTGCTTTTCACTGAGGCCTTTCAGTATCCATAGCAATAGCACTGCTTTTGATATGCACTGCTCTTCCTGTTTAAGCATTTGTAGCTGTTCTGAAGCAGTTCAGCTTTCCAGGAAATGCATAAATGTGATCTACAGCCCTCCTGGCATACAAATTTAATTATGAATATGTTGACCTTCTGGTTCATTAACACTGTTGGAGTACAAATACTGCCTGGATGGGTGGGATGCATCACAGCATTAAATTTCTAGGTTTGTTTTCTCAATGGGCTTGTTGGCATCTTCTAGTAAATTTTTTTCCAAAGGCACATTCCTGCTGGGAATGGGATGGTTCAAGCTGCCTACCTGACCCACAGAGAAGGTTTTAGGTTGGTTGTTGGTTTTGCCACCAAAGGACATGAGCTGGAAAGGATTTACAATGGTAGTAAGGGAAACCTGTCCACCCTGTGGAACTGTTCCTTGCTCAGGTGAGTTCCTTTCAACAAGCTGTAAAACCAGAGTCCTCGGTTCAAAGCAGGGTGTTAACCAAATGTTCTGGTCACATTCCAAATCAGCTGGTTTTGTTGTGCCAAAATAAACTGTTCTTGTATTTTCAAATACTTATGTTATTTCTTAAACATCCTTTATGAAACCCTCTGCAGTTTCTGTGCAATGTTAAAGTGACAACTGCACTCTGCTTTATGAGGTGGCTGATTCTGAAAGATGATGAATATGTTTTCTACGCTGCTCTCAACCTTTTGTTAGGATGGTTTTGAGGATTAGTAAATATTTATAAAGGATCTCCTTGTCTCTGACCAAAACAAAACATGAAACAAGCAGTGTGACTGTTCTGTCTCCATTCCACGGCATCCACGTAACTCCAGGAATGGAAGCAGAGCATGGAGAACTGTGCCCAGTGCTTTAATGCAGTACAGATGGAGACTAAGAGGGTATGGAAGAACAAACAAAACAAAAAAAACAACAAAGGAATGCTACAATCAGGTCATGAAACTTGGGATGTGTGGAGGATTACAGAGACACACAGTGGACAAGAGTCCATTGGCTCATAACCTTCAGTGATTTTCATTAGTTGAGAATTTGGCCCATAAGGAAGAATTTCTCCACTGAAAGGATGGTCAGGCATTGGAAGGGATGGAGCCACCATCCCTGGAAGTGCTCAGGAAACAACTGGACGTGGCACTCAGTGCCATGGTCACATTGGCAACGCGGTGTTCGGTCAAATGTTGGATTTAATGATCTTGGAGGTCTTTTCCAAACTTAATCATTCTACAAGTCTATGATTTTTTACAATAATATTGAGAGCTCTCAGGGCCTGTGGCATTCCCAAATGGAGCCCAAATGACAGTGAGCATGGAGCACAGAGGCAAGCTCTAGAAACACCCAGGACATTTGAAGTGTGATATAAAGTTTCCTGTAAGCCTTTGTTCAAGCTGAAGGCAAGATAAGCTTTCCATTATTTAGTAGGATGCCACTTCCCTGGCTCCTTTCCTGTAAGAAAAATATTCTTGCTGGAATCCCTGCAGGTACAAAAAGATTATCTCAGTGTTTCCTCTAGAAAACCCAAATGTGCTCAGAAACAATATTCCTATGGTTTCATTGTTATTCTGTCAGAGAATTTTGATGGGTGGGATAAAGCCAGGAATGACTAAAGTTTGTTTAGGTAAATATTTTCTAGATGTTTGAGTTATAAAAGTCCTTTCAAAAACAAAGTTCAATCTCTTTGACATTCTATTGCTCAGAAATAATTTTGCCTTCCCCTCATGTGTTTCATAGAGCATATTTATCTTATCACAAAAAACCCAATACCCTTTTCATTCATGATCTTTTCAATACAATTAAAATTTAAAAACATTTTCTCCTTTGCTTTCTGAAGCTTTGAAGAACTGTTTTTCTTACCTTTGGAGCAGGTATCAAAATAGATCTTATTCCTCTTGCACTCAAAGTGGCCTTGCAAATCAACAGGGATTTAATATATGCCCATCAACCATTAAAAATCTTGAAGTGAATTAGGGATTTCTCAGACCTGCTGTGGAGCTGGGCTGTGAGTTTTACTCCTCTGTGTGTTTGCAGTTGCTAAGCAATAATCCCAAAGGTTGCTATGTCTTTCCACGTTCAAAATTGCTGTAGGTTGTCTTTTGGCTTTGGCACAGCCCAACAGACTCTTCTGTACTGAACTTAGAACATTGCATCACATGACTGAAAATAAAATAAAATCGAGAAAGGACTATGAATAGCAACAGAGAACATTAAGGGCACAAATAGAGAATCTGCAGGTGCCAGTGACAGGTTACCTTCAGATTCAAGGTTCACAACGTCCAGAACTGTCTCAAGCCCATTACCAGCTGAAGGGAGGACTGTGTTAACCAGATGTTAGGATCTCAGACATAAAAAGAAATTAATTACAAACTCAATTTAAACATTTTCAGGCTTTCTTTCTTGTGTTGCTTTGAAGCAGCCTTGCAGGAAAGGCACACAAGCATTAACGAGGGGGGAGAGCACGGTGCCATTTTGTCAGACTGCTTTTAAACCTGAATCTAAAGGAATTTGATGAGTCCCCTTTCATAATCTCTCCTATATTCTTTGAAGAATAATATGACAGGAAAAGGAGAAGGCAAAAGACAAATACATCTACAACAGGAATTCTGCACTCATTTACACGAATGTAAATCAGGTGCCTGTTCAGCAATTCCCTTGGGCTAGGCACGACTTCCCACTGAGAAACTCATGGCAATTTCTGCCAGGAAATGAGCTTTATCTAATGCTGTTTCTTTCTTTGTATTTTATACTGGAAGTGGCAAAACCTTTGGATTGCCCACCTGCAGGAAAACTGAACTGTGACTTTATCTATGGTATTTGTCAAGGTGCAAGGTGCCCTGCCCTCTATTAGTCCCCATTTCATGGGATAGCCTGTAAGAAAGCTTGAAATAGAGGAGATCAACTTTCATGTGAAAAATGCACCATAATAAATTATCATTTCTTTGCTATTTATTTGGAGAAACGTATCAGAAGGAAATATGCACATTGCAGTGCATTTCCAAGATGTGTTGAAGTCTAGCATCAATTATGTTAACAAAATGAAGCAGAAAATTAGTGCTCAGGAGTAATTTAAAATGAGGCTTTAAACTGGATTGTGCACTTTTTCCTCAAAGCAGTTTGCTCATGATTAATTCCTGTTATCTCTTCTCCCAGGTGGGCTTGGTTTTGCCCCTTTGCAATTCAGAATTCTGTTGCTATTATGATTAACTTACAAAACTTTTTGAGGGTGAAACATAAATTTAAAAAAAAAGGTGATTTTTTTTTCAATCCCCAAACAAGAATATACAACTAGAACTTAGAAGGATGGATCAAAACAGCTCTATTTTTATTTTTCTGGAAGTGGAATCCCGTGGGTTAAGCAAACCTTTAATTGTACTCTATCTGACTTGGCTGTTATCCCTTAATGTTTTTGCTAAGCAAAGTGTATCCTTTTATTATGCCACCAAATACTTGCACTGTTGACAAAATAATGGGCTGAATATGTCATCACAGATGTTTTGCTGGAATTGCCTGTTCTATCTTTTTTTTTGTTTTGTTTTGTTTCTCTCTGTAAGATACATTTTGGGAGCACTCTGTTGTCTTTTGCAGCTGATGCCAAGATTATGCAATAAAAGCCCTAACATGTAGTAATAATAAGTTGTGTTAGCCAGGGAAATGTTTGCAGTGTATTAAATAGTCAGTTTTGGAAATGTGTACAAAACCAGCTCATGTACAGCTCCACTCCTTTGAAATGCTACTCTGGGCTGAAGCAGCAGGTGCTGACCACAGTGCTGCCAGCACA